GAAAAGTCAATAAAGACCACAGAGGGATGAACAAACACTGTGAGTGGAGAGATGACAATGCTGTCTAATGAGTTGAGGTGAGCTCACCTACAGCATTAATGAATGCCTGACGACCGGCCGAGGCCAGCTAACTTCCCTCACCGTTCACCGGCAGCACGTTTGAAGTCTCAGTGCAAACAATACACCCACAGGACAGACCAAGGCTCTCGACAGAGGGTCACCAGCAATTACGCTGTGGGCTTCTGTCACTTTGATCTCTGGGTCGTGACCTTTGCTTTCTTGTGATCTTCAAAGCCCAGATTGCAGATTAGCTGGAAAATGCTCACTGGGTTATGTAAGCCACAAGTTTTACAGCTCCTCTATGGCTGGGAAATGCCGGTAGCCCAAGACGGCCAGCAGACGATGGCAGGTCCCTCCCTCCTTCCCCTTGGCTGAGTGAGACAGACACTGGGCAGGCCCCAGGGCTGCTCCCTGGGAGGCGACAAAGAAGGGGTGTCACGTTTTAAATAATTTCAAGTTGTAAGGAATACAGAGGGGCCTACTGAGGAGGAGGGAGGAAGGAGAAGCCAACCAGAGATTGGAGTGGCAGGAGAGAGTGAAGGACTTAGTGACAGAAGGATTTAGTGGAGGAAGGGGCACTAAGAGACCATGAGACCAACTCCCTTATTTGATGCCTGAGGTATAGCACTTGTGAACCATTGACTTCCACTCTACTGTCTTTCCTGCAGTAAGAGGAAAGAAAAGAATAACAAAGGAAGACAAGAAATAGACTGTCCTGGGCATCCAAGTTCCCCATACTTGATTTATTGTCTGGCCAGTATTCAAGTCCACCGGAGGCCCCAAGGGGAACCTTAGTACAGTGGTGGCCCCCTGGCTCATCTCGGCTTCCCCATCCTTTCCTGCCCCAGTCCTGAAGGCTGCTGGATCTTCAGGTCCAGCACCACCATTCAGCATGCACCTCCATTCGACATTCATTCCAAAATAGCAGCCCACTGTGTATACATGGCAAAGCAAGGGCACGTTTCAGCGCCTGTAATAACACGGTGAGCTATAACAGCTCACCATGTTAACAGCTATGAGCTGTGATGAACGGCACAGAGAAACCCCAGGCCTGGTTTAGTTCCTGCCCCAGCAGGACCAGGGCACTGCTCAACAACTTGGGAGCATGTTCATGCTCACTCACGGATTTAAGGGGCCCATTTTACTGTTGGGACATGTGCCAAGAAAATCCAACTGGGTGCACAGGGGTAAGTGAGGAAGGAAAAGGGGTGATGTGTGGGGGAGGGGAGGGAAGCATCAGTAGAAACTGAAGCAACTGTGGGTCCATTTCCAAGAGCTCCATAAATCTGGTCACTTCCCATTTCTGGTCCAGTGGTTGTCCACCATGTAACCTGAAACTGGACTGACCTTTCTGAAATCAACGTATCTCACAGAAATGAAACAAGAGACGTACTTGTTTTGATGTATGGCTGGGTGACATATTATAAATATTACATCACATAACCACAGAGGATGCCAATCAATGTGAAATTTTTTTAGACAGCACTAAATGAACCACGGGTTCTTGCCTCTGAATACACTCCTTTAAGGCTCCTACTACTGTTTCAATGATTAATAGAAGACATATTGTCAGAAAATGTACTTAAAAGTGAAAAACAGTAAACTGTAGAAATATCATTCATTTTTTAAGCAATTTTCGAGTGAAAACGTCCCATAAATTTACATAGAGGCCCTACTATTAGGCTCTGGGTAACAGCTAGACGGAAGGCTGACCTCACGCTTTGGGGATGAAGGGCCAGGAAAATATTTTACCAAAAGGAAACAAATGGTGGCTACACTGTTTTGTATAAACCCAAATGCCACAGGAACTCAGGATTCAGAAGTCTTACTGTGAAACTCTAAGATTTCTCAGGGGCAAATGAAGCACAGACTCCAGGATGAACAAAGCAGGGCTGCTGACAGACCACTGAACAGAACTCCCTCATCCACCCATTCATCTCACCCAAATGTAAGGGTGACAGTGCTTGTTAAAGCAGAAATAAAAAATAAGTAAAAGAAATAAAAAATCTAGAATTGCTAGAGAACAGGCCCGCCACTCCACTCAAGCATCAGAGGCCGTGCAGTTGATGTATAACTGGGTGGGCCCACATTGAATGTTCCCTCCACTGTTCTTAGTTCCTGTCTCTCTCAGAGGGTGAGCATTTTGCTGGTGTTGTGGGTGACTTATGGATTTTCTAAGGTAGTTCTGACCAGATGTGATTTCGGCTGTGTGTGGCCTCTAGAATCCAGCTCCTCATGGCAACCTTGACATATGTGCACTAACACACAGCCTCCCCAGCCCCAGCCCTCCACAGCTTCCAGGGGTTAACAGACCTGGAGTGGGGAAGGTGTGCTTGGAGGGTACCCAGGCCAGCCCAGGAGAACGATCACTGTTCTACAATCAAGCCCTACCTAAAGAATCATGACCCAATGACCAACACTTGGGTAGATTCTGCAGGATCGTTCCTTGCTTGTTAACTGCATTTGTTGACATCCAAGTGCATCTAATTCTAAATAGGCAGTGGGCAGCCAAGGTGCCCAAAGGGCCCTGCATTTCTCTTCAAGTACTCAGCTTCTCAGATGGAACAGTAATTTCAAGCCACCTCCTGTAAACAGTTACCAAGTCCCTATTACACAGCCAGCGCTACTTTCAGTATTGATGAGGCTTCAAAGGGCAAGAAGACGCAGTCCTGACTTTCTGGAAGCCATTCTCTGGATGTCGACATACATGAAGTAGTCAGAGAAATATACATGATGGAATATATAAAATGGTATGAGATGGTCAAGGGGGAACTGCAACTGCTTGGGAGGACAGTATCTCAGAACACCACAGCTGACAGGGACTTTAAGTATCCCTTAGTCCAGTAGTTCTTGACTGAGCATCAAAGTCACCTATTGACTATTTTGTTGCATTCGGCACTAAATGAATCAAAACGCCTTGGATGATTCACAAGTATAGCCTTGGTTAAGGGTCACTGATCTAAACTGTCCTCCCCATTTTAAAGGTCCCACTGGCAAAGCTGGACTCCACATCAGATCTTTTGATCTGACAGCTTACACCATGGATCTAAGTATTTTTTCCAATGCGACTAGTTACAATAACAACAAAAATAGTATTAGCTTTTCTTTTTCCTTTACAACCTTCTCTTTGAGACTGAACAGAGTAAGGTGGAGTGGGAGACTTTCCTCACTCTGAAAAAAAAAAATGCACCTACAGTTCATTTCACATATAACTCCATGAATAAGTGAATGAAAGAATGAATGTGTGTGAATATGTGTATATACACATATACACACATGCATGTATATGTACATATATAAAATGTATTGGGCGATTTTAAAGCATTAAAACCAGAAATCTAAAGAAAAAAGTCAAAAAACAAATGAGAATTTCCCAAACAATTCTTGGTTTACTAAAAATGTTAACTGAGAGAACTTTCTTGTACCTCCTGACCCTTCCAAGATATATCTTATAATAAGTTGCTGCCAGAAGATAAAACGTTTTAAATGACCCCTTCGTAGCTGAAATCAAGCTGTTAAATTACTCAAAGTTGATAAGAGTAACGTTAAAGAAGAAAAGTAAGTTCTAAGTGATTAACTTAACAGGTTGATTTAGAAATTTTAACTATTCACTCGCTGGATATTAACCATATTTCTCCTAATAGAAATCATATTCAAATTGACAGTATCACATCCCAAATAAAAATCTTCATGAGGAAAAAAGATTTAGGGCATTTCTTTTGAAGTAGGGATAGAGCTTTATTCTAAGATGGCTTAAAAATAGTCTAAGATCCCTACAAAATTCTTCGCCGTAGAGAAGTACAGCTGAATTTCTGCTGTACTCTTGCTAACATGTATATGTAAATGTATGTTTTTTTTAACACACAGTGTTCAATAACCTTCACTAGTTCTTACAGCTTTGCCTTTATATAAAATGTATGCCCTCAACTACATTCCTTCGTGGGTCACCACAGATTTAAAAATCTGAACCCCAAGAGAACCAGTTCCTCTCCAACCATTATCCTTTCTCCCCAATCCTCCCAAACTTATTTTCCAGTAGTCCTACATGCCTTACATTTCCTTCCTTCCTTCTTCCCTCCCTCCCTCCCTCCCTCCCACATTGATTCAGGTGGGGTGTTAATGAGAGCTCACATCATAATGGAGAGAAAAGCTACACTACACATATGAAAAGATCGAGCATACAGAATTCCAAGTGTAGAGGAAAAATGAGTCTAGTAAAATGGGTTAGATCAAAAAGACTCCCTAAAGAGAAGTGAGTTTGGATCAGGTATTTCAAAGCAGATGGTTCAGAAGTTGAGAGAAGGAAAAAAAAAAGCATTTCTACCTGGAGCCCATCAAATCCCATTGTTGGTGGACACGGAGGCATAGCTTTATGAAACAAAGCCATATGCCTCATGGGATTTCCTCTTGGGATTGTATATAAGCTCCCTAAACCTTTGTGGGAAGTACCCTCTCTCTAAATAGTGACTCAGAAGCAGACAGGAACGTCTTAGGGCAAGGAGCAGGGGCCAGCAAAAAATAGCCCATGGGTCTAACCTGGCCTGCTGCCTGTTTTTGTAAATAAAGTTTTATTGGAACATGGCACTGCCCATTCATTTACCAACTGTTCATTGCTACTTACGCACTATAATGGAAGAGTTGAATAGCTGTGACAGAGAACATATGACCTTCAAAGCATAAAATATTTAATATCCAGCCCTTTACAAAAAAGTCTGTCAATGCCTGTCCTATACCACTCAACATCTTTTCATGTTTCTTGACTCTTGTTTACCCTCAATGAAGGGAGACCCTGGCTATAGGGTACCCAAGGGGGAAAGTTTAATACAGCATGAAGGGGCCACTGATACTTACATCTACTACGCACCCCAGAATATAATATTATCTCCCCAAAGATGTCATTTTTCCCTTCTCACACGATGCTCAAACCCCTAGATACTCACCTGTATCTCTTGTAGTCTTCCTCATCCTTTTCCAGGCTGACTAGCTCGTTGGGACATGCCACATTTCCCAGCAGGCTGAGGTACTCCAGAGCTGGTGTCACTTCTGCCAGGTGATCAAGCAGGCACTCCAAGTCAGTGATGTGACAAAGGTTAAGGATCTTGGTCCAGAAAGACAAAAGGCTTAGCAAGGAGCACAGACCATACCTGACAGGCACAGCCTAGCAGCTGATTGAGTCCTGTCTGCTCCCAGAACAAGACATGGGTGAGGGTTGAAATCAACTTGCTGTGCGTGTCTGGCATGGCTAGTTTTTCCCTCCTACTGTTTGGGACACAGCCCAGCTTGTCTCTGGGCAGGTGAGGTTAAGTCCAGATCACTTAAGAAAGAATGAATGAGCTTAACTGTTTCACTGTACTTTTCTTTCCTATATAGTTCTATTTTTGTTTTAAATGATGAAGGGTAGATTCCACGTAGTAAAATATTTTACAATATGCAGCTCCATAAAACTTTATTTTTTCTAGTAATGAAAGCAAGAAATTACTTCCAAAGGCCTCATCAGAAATATATTCATTCTCCTTTAGGGAGAAATTCATCATTAAAACGTGGGAATGGCACGGACGCAAACAGGGATTAGCAGCATCTTTTACGACCTGACAGCCTCTTGTGGAGCTAGGCGTTGCTCAGTGGCCTCACTGGTGGCAATGAGACATTGGATTGGGTGGAAAGGAGAACAAAGCTAGGGGGAGAAGACAAACAGGACAGTTTTAGTGAAGGCAGGGAGGTCGGAAAGCATTTCCTGAGAATCTGTTGTCAAATCAATATTCTGTGAAGGACAGAATGAAAAAGAAAAGGTGGGGCATAGTGGTGAGAGTATTCCATGATCCATGCCCTCAGTGGGACCCACTGTTCGGTCAAGATAAACACTGAGACCCCAGACCAAATAAGGCAAGAGTCATAGATTCAGGGAAGCACAGGCATTGGGAAGGACTAGTCCGCACATCAGCTCCCAAGCCACATACAGAGAGCTGAGCCCTAGGCAAGCTGATTCAGCAGGTTGTGAACAGAGGCATGACTACCAGGGGCCTATCAATGAGAAGAGGTAGCCAGTATCAGCAGAGAGAACGGGGTCCTTGCCAGTGAATGCATGCCAGCAGAGCATACAGGGGCTAAACACATGATGGTGGATGCAGCACACAAGAGTCAAAGACTCAGGATACCATTTCCAGGAGAAAATAAAGATGAAATAAAAGGGCTGCCCTTACTCTGTGACGATACTCTCTAACCGTGGGATGTCATCCCAATTTTCTCATACTTCAGCTTGTCAGCTGAACTCCAAATCCAACCAATGTCTGAATCCAGTCCCTCACATATTTGCCAAAGGGTCACCACAAGAAAGCTCATTCTACCTCTAAAAACCATAAGAAGAGAGTTTTTCTTTCCCCAGGGACTGAATCTTCCTCGAATTCCCACCCACTGTCCCCATTTCGCTACTTGGGAGTCACAAAGAATAAGTCATTCTTGTCTTCCACGTGATGGCCCTTCAGATGGTTGAAGCTCACATATCTTCCTTCAACCTTGTATTTTCCAAACTAAGTTCCTTCAAGCACTGTTCATACACAAGCTATGTCAACATCATATACAAGAAAAAGCACCAGACCCTGGGAGGGAGCAAGACCAAGACAGTGAAAAGGCAAAGCTCACAAGCCAAAGGGGAAAACTAGTTAAAGAGGGTCGAGCATCCTCATCCAGTGTGGGTTTCCACTTGCCAACATCCCGCCCCATTTCCTAAACAAAGACAGGACAATGGACAACAAAGCTATCAACCTTTCAAATCTACAACCAATGACATCTAGGAATGACCACAAAGGATCACCGGAATGAGGATGATGGGAAAAGGAGCACATGGAAAAGATGAGAAAGGAGGTCCCACCAAGGAGGTAAGGTTGAAATACAGCAGGTTTAAGTGGCCAGGAGTCAAAACATTAATGTATGTCATCACACTTACTACTTCTTAAAGTTCAGTCACCACACTCTTTAAGAAAATCATTTAAATAAAACCAATTAAAATGACAGTGAACAATTTCAGGGAAAACTTGCCTTTTCCAGCAGGTTCTATCTTTGGATCCTTCACAGTCATTACCAATACATTAAAAAAAGAAAAAAAAAAAAAGGAATCTTGCCAGTACTCTACAAGTGCTGCCCTTTGACCCAAGCAGAGGCACCTCAGGGGCCCCCGTGCTTTGGAGTGTCTTCCTCAAAAATTTTTCAGTCGTAGTTCAGTACCAGGACTGCCTAGGGGCCAACAGCATCATTCAGGTAGGATACCCCATGCCTTCACTTGGACCTGCATGGGCCTCAGCCCCAGTCCTGGTTTCTCCCCTTCAAGGTTCTCTCCAATCCTCTGCCCCACACAGGGGACCCACTGGATGCTCCAAGGAGCACTAGGTCTCATGCCCATCAGGTCGTCCAGAAGCCTCAAGCCAGGTGCTAGTTCTAGGGGGGCAGCCAGACAGCTGATCACTCTTGCTTGCTGGCGCAGTATTTCTTTTGTGAGACTGCAAGAGAGTAGGCTGCCAAAATGGCGCTGATGTGTTGACGTGAGGTGATTAGAAGCATTTATGTGGACAATGGCCCTAGAGAACCCAGGGGAAGCCCTTTCTGCTATGGACGGCAAAGTCCAGGCCAAACCTATTTCCCTCTTAGAGACAAATTCCTTAAAGCTTCACCTTTTCTTCATCTACTTCATGAAGGTGAGAACGTGAAGGAATGGAACTCAAAACTGGCAAGATCTTCAAGTTAGGGAAACACTGGGCAATGGAGTTGGCTTGAAGTCCCAGTCATGCCTCAACATTTGGTGACTAGTGATGGGAAGCCTTGCTTTCTACCATCCAGGGAAGTAGGCCCAGTCTAATGTGAGTAAATCTTCGTACGTAAACATGCCACAGAGCTGACAGAGCTTGTGCGTGAGGGCTGCACGCTTACATAGGCCCTTTCCAGGGTCCCGGGAAAGGCTCTGGTAATAGAGTCACACGGTCACACATTTTCATAAAACCTGCAAACGTAGGTTACTTGAACCGCAATCAGTTAAGAGCATTGTCTTTCTCTGGTAGGACTTCTTCTGTCACACTTCTGCTTGAGTAGGATGATGCTGGAGTAGCTGGAGTAGTAACTCTGGGGACCTAAGAGGCAATGGTGAAGGAGTGGCATTGAATTAAGATTCAGTGGGTCTGTTTCTGTGGTTTGTAGTCATTTCTGTGTCTGTTACAACAACAGCACCAGTAGGAATGGCTTGCAGTAATATTTCTACCACCTACCATGCTGACACACACATGTGGGGACCAACGCAAAAACGATGATAAAACAGTTAATGAACATCAATTCAGAGAATATGTAATATTAAGTTGCTGAGTATGTATACACACACGTACTCAAACACAACTAACTTGAAATGTCTAGAAATCTTTTAGCTCATAGACGAGAGAAATGTGTAAGAGTTTTCCCAAAATTTAGTAATTCTAAAACTTTTACCAATAATTCAGTGGTGAAGTTACCAATAATGATTGGTGAAACTGAAAGAAACATCCCTAAATATTAAAAATAAAAATCAATTTTCAATTAGATGGAATTATCTACTCTATAGAAAACACTACAAAATTTAATTACATAATGAACTTATAAGGGAATTTGCAGAAAGGAAATAGAAAAAAGTTCTTATACAGATACGTTTAGTATCAAGGAGATTGTTTTCTAAATATTTTAATGTGCAGTATCTGTCAACCTAAAAAATTTTTAATTTGCTTTGATGTATTTTTTATTCCAAATAAACATTCATCTTCATACCTAATTTTGCATTAGTAATTATAGTCTTTGCCTTTAAGAGGGCCTCCTCAAATTATGCAAGCTTCATACTCCACAAAATCTGGGTCCACCCCTTAACATGAGGCCATGGAGAGGCAGACTCATTCAAATGTCTTGATCATGGGAATTTCTTGGGCAAAGGGTCTGCAGGCTTCAAGAAGCTTCAGCCACCCTATGCCAATGAATCCAAGAAGGGCTGGATTCCTTGGAGCCTCAGAGCCTGCCTCCTTTAGGATATTATGTGAGGCAGAAGCGAGTCCTTCTTCCTAAGCCTCCCAACTACCCGCTGAATGATCATTTGGGCTGGGCCAGGTGGTCCCCCCAAATCCACACTGTGAGAAATCACTAGCACCTACTCCGCGGACGCTCTGGACCAGAACATCATCATTATGTTGATACCACCACTGGAGGATGACACGCGAGAAGTTTTAATTGGTTTCTTCGTCTCCTGGGTCAGTAAGGACAAGCACAGCCCTGTCTTGCATGATTGCGAGCTCAGAGACAGAACTTGTCACATTCCTTTCTGTCAAGTCGCAGAGAAAATTAACCAGAGGCAATCAGTGGAGGGAACTTGGTGTCCCTGGTTAACCAAGACTACCTCAGTGGAGCCACTTGTAGGGATTCTCCGAAGGGTGGTTTCATTTTTTCTCCTTTTTAAAATGTGAAGCTATCTGGCACAGTTTCAACTCTCTCCAGCTGCGTTCTCAGCACACACCTGGTTACCCTCATCAAGTCTTCTCCAGAGTACTTGCCGTTTAGATTTTTTTCAGCGTTGTCTACAGAAAGTTGCCACTTCAGAGCCCAGCTGTCATGGCAAGGCTTGCCAACGGAGATTTTCTGCAGAGGGCCCAAGATCAAAGCCACATCTTGCCTTGAAAGTTTGGAGCCCGAGGGAGGAGGGGAATCTCATGGTGTCACGTCCAGTTGCACAGGTCTGAAGCTGCTTCCCGGGTGAGAATGGGTGCGTACCTCTCTCTGTGCTCAGCTCCAGGTCAAAGGACAGCACCTGTGACCAACTGCGGGTATTTCAACCAGAGCTTATCCTGATAGAAGATTTTCAAATGCTAAACAGTCTACACGGCATAGTTGATTCACCCCCACACGTGTCAGAAATATTATTACATCCAGATAACAATCAAGAAAACTATGGTCAGGACTTCCCTGGTGGTGCAGTGGTTACGAATCCGCCTGCCAACGCAGGGGACACGGGTTCGAGCCCTGGTCCGGGAAGATCCCACATGCTGCAGAGCAACCAAGCCCATGCGCCACAACTACTGAGCCTGC